GAGGGTATAAAATAAAAAACTTAAAATCTTTTGGGGTACACAGTACGAAAAACTAATAAATTTAAAATATAATTTAAATTTTTAATTTTAAAAATCAAATATGATATTGTTTACTCAACGCAATCAAATTGCTTAGTCAATATCACCGTATCAACGTTACATAATTTTATCGTATTTTTAGATATCTTTAACTGATTCCTGTCAGCAGCTCTTATATGTATCATTGATTAATATTTCTTATCATTTCATACTAAATAGTGTGACACAATTTTTATCACCAAGTAAATGGGTCTAATAATTATTTAATAATAAAAATTATATCACATCACTCGATATAAAAAAAAAAACTTGATAAAAAACTTATTAACCATAAAATTAGTGTACCTATAAACAAAAAGGTCCCCCTCTTGCACAATCTTTAAAAACTTTGGTGACATAAGGTATGATGTAAGCTCCAATTGATATCTTNACAAAAACTTGATAAAAAACTTATTAACCATAAAATTAGTGTACCTATAAATAAAAAGGTCCCCCTCTTGCACAATCTTTAAAAACTTTGGTGACATAAGGTATGATGTAAGCTCCAATTGATATCTTTAAAAGTGGATTCTCATAATGATTCCCATTGCTTTTTTTTTTTTTCAAATTTGTGGATTTTACCAGTTGAGTAATCCATAAATGGCAGATATTCTTCTTGCTAGCATCGTGATTCACATGAACAGATAATGTAGGGTCTATGTCAAGGTATATTCGACAGTCGCTTCCTTCAAACATTAAATAAATATAAATATAGAAGCAGCAAAAAGGGTTTCTATCTTTTATTTTATCCACATTAATTTGTCACTGGCTTCTTGGAGCCTATCACAAACAACAGTCAATAGTGATGCTCAATTCCTGCCTTGCGTAAATTATCTTTATACAAAGTATCATAAAATTACGACAATTAAATCCATTTTAGGTCCAAAACAAATGACTTTTTGGTAACTTTTATACTTAATTTTTAATTTTTACTCCACATACTTTGTAATTGTTGGATATTTTGATAACTCTGCATTAATCTAGACTTGAGTTTTGGTAAATTTCAAATCGGTTTCGCAATTTGGGCATCATTTGGTGATCAATAAAATTTTTAAAGTAACTCTTTTATTTTTGTATCAACTTTTGATATCTGTGGTTTGCAAGATTCATCTTGATAGGGTATTATCTATGATAATTAATTTAATTAAAATTATCGTGTTATTCAAATTTCATTTAATCACGTCCTTTTGAGAATCAAGTTAAACATGGCAGGGTGAATCTTTACTAAATTATGATTTTAACCCACATTATTTAAGCCTTCCTTGACTGAAGCTAGGAAATATCCTAGGAAAATCTTTGCAATCCATAGGACTGATTTGGTATAGATTTTGTGTAGGAAAGTTCTTGATTGTGTTGGATTACATGTGTCTAAAGTTCATTAACCACAAGTGCTGACGTGTAGATTCACGATCTTGTCGAAATTCTCCTCAGACTTTTGGGTTGGATAGGCTCTTTCTACAGCGGGCCACTCGTTTTACTTAGAAGTATAATGGTTAAGAGCAAGAGTAGATGAGGTATGGAGTACAAATCGGATAATTTAGAGATTTGTGTCTTGTCATACATTGCTGACCACTGATGACAAATGGGAGTCGGGGTGGGTGAATTAATTGTCGAGGTATAAAATACAAATTGAGGATAATTTCGTTTTAATTTATTTTAAGTTAATTCCATAAAAAAATTAAAGCGGGTTGACTTACAATAAATTGAGATATTCATTAATCTATGAAATAAAAAAAAGAGTCAAAACACACCATTGTTACTATCATCATAATATTGTAGCATCGTTGCCATGATCTCTCTTGTCGCAATCCTGGAGGTAGGGGTGGTTATAACATAAGTGGAATGGTGGTAATGAAACGCATATGATAATATCTAGGCAATAATTGTGATGGTGCAGTGATGATAGTAGTAGGACAATGGTGGGACTACAGTGACCGTGGTGGTCGTAAGATTTGGAATACTAGGGGTTGGAGTTTTTGTGGTGGTGGGGGAGATGGTGGGTGGGTATTCGGAATCATGAATGGACACAGTACCTAGTTTTTTTTTTAGGCTTTCCGGTCAACTTAGGTTCCAAAATTGATATTTTTTTTTTGGTCAAACGAAATTAGTATATTAGGCTAATGAATTTTAGTGGATTTTACAGTCGTATCATGAAGACACTAGCAACCTGCAAAAGGCATTATAAGCTTATAGCCCCAATGTTGATGGCTGTTGAAAAGACCAGGGATTTGTGGGCGCTTGGTATTGGAAGCCAGAGTATCATGGAGATCACACTGGTATCATTAATGGGCTTATGATCTCCTAGTGACTACTATCGATCGGTCTCTTTCAAATTAATGTATACGATATAACATCGTAAAATGAGTGACCATTAAACTATTGATGGAGCACAAGCTCTTGATCAAAAGAAATGTTGATAACAAATGGACAGGGCAAAATATGAATAACAGGAAATGAATATATTGTTCATTTGTGTTGTTTTGTGACATTTTGGTGTTTTCACAATTTTATGTTCTTTTAAAAGTTGCATAAGAAGTACGTAGCACTTATAAATTCAATATGCAAAGGGATTATTGTAACGCATTTGACTCGCATCAGACAATACTCTTTGTGGTGGACAAGATCTCACTATTTTAAAGTGTTCACAAGGTCAAGAGTTCAAGCCTCCTTCATTTTTTTAAAAAAAAATTATGAATAATATATATGAAAAAAAAAACCCGAAAATACTCTTATTTAGCCGAGTTGATGTTTGGCTCTACTCCATTGGCCTTTAAGGCTGTGGTTTTTGACATAAGGTTTTGACTTTTACGAGGGTAAAAACGAGTAAGTCATTGACATGACGAGACATGGGGAAAAAGGAACGTGGTGGGTGGGTTCCTCCATAAAAAGAAAGGAGAAAATAATTCAAATAAATGCAAGCGTTTGACAATGTGATGTAGGAGAATAATCCACAAGCTTGCAAATACAAAAGACCTGGGAGAGGATTGCTTTCTTTTCCGCAAGAAGTCAAAGGCCACTGTTGTAAAGAGTTTCGCACTGTAGAAACCCATATGAAAATGATATCACTCCATTGATTTTAGCTCATCTTTTTTTTTTTCCCTGGTTTATTGTAATGTATATGATCTTTTTAAATTTAATTTTTATTTAATTAAAATAATTTATACCTACGACCTGGAAAAAAAATACATAATTAAGAGGGTTGTGAGTGTGAGAACACACCATCTAGAAGCTTATTGCATCCCTTTCAATCACCTTGGTACAAAGCCCATGTTTTAACCCAACGATGATGATGAATTGACTGAGAGATTTCCACAATAAGCTAGTGTGCATAATTGCCTAGCCTACAGAATCGAGTCCATGGTGTCAAAATCTAATTGTAGCTCGACATATTGCAGATAATGAATGTTACGGCCACCCAATATCTTCAACCAACAAAAGATGGTGTTCCTTAATGTGCTGATCTAATAGTTTGCTCCATTAAAATCACTATTTCATAGCGCACAAAATCTTCTTGTGGATATTCAGAAAATGGTTTATTGGAGTACGTGGGATGGGATGACAAATGAGAAAGCAAGAGGCATGGGTTTTCAAACAGGCTCACCACAATCTACCTCAAGTGGCTAGGTGGAAGCAGCACTACTCCCTTGTGCATGAAAATTTACAATCAATGGAAAGAGGAAACTCGTGAAATCACAAAGTTTTTTCCAAAGTCTTATGCCAAGTTGAATTATGTGCTGTGTCAAGAAACCAGAGTCAATATTTAGACACAATGATTCCACGTCTTCACTGATAAATTTGTGATACAACAAACCAATAACAAGACAACACGTGTATATATAGCCGACATAACCGAGAGGAGGTAGGCAGACAAACTCGGTGATGCCACGACTGTACTTTCTTTGTCCTATGTAGATCACCCAAAATATGGTCAACCATAATGGGTATATTGGTATAGTGCTTTCCTCGAGACACATAGGTTGCAGCGTTATTATCACTTAGGCATAGACAAAATCTGGCTTCTGCGGTACAAACTTTACTCAAAATTGGATTCAGATAGGCACGCGCACCATATCATGCTTTTCGAAGGACTTGGGGGAATTTCGGAAAGATAGTTGTAAACGCACTTATATTCCCCCCTAGAAACGTAGAAGTATAAGTTTAAGAAAGATAATCCTAAAACGCTACAAGCAAATCAATATGAAGATGTGGTACTGATACCAATCGGGTAATTCATTCCAGATATTGTTAGAACTAAGCACCAATATTGAACTGAGGAACCCAAGGTAGCCGGACCGTGAACTGGTTCTAATTTTCGTCCTAGACTTTGAGAGCCACCATAGCAATATATGGAAAGAAAATAGAAGATTTAGGGACCAACAATCAACCATTATCGCATGAACTCAAGCAGCACAGCAGATGTTGCAACAAATCTCTTAAGTAAACTNCATCCTAGACTTTGAGAGCCACCATAGCAATATATGGAAAGAAAATAGAAGATTTAGGGACCAACAATCAACCAGTATCGCATGAACTCAAGCAGCACAGCAGATGTTGCAACAAATCTCTTAAGTAAACTATCCGTGGTGCAGTTTATATATCTCAATTCTCTACATGTTATTCCATCTACTGAATCGACACAGATGATCTGCAAAGATGGATAAATGAAATCATCCGAGCATGCAAAACCATCCTCTTCCAAGGCTACTGTTGCCATGGAAATACCACAATTAATTACCTGCTCTGAATACACAGACCCAAAACCAACAATACGGTTGCTTCAATACATACAATGATGCAAGGGAACTACTGCTCTTAGCTATATAACCTTNTATTGCCATGGAAATACCACAATTAATTACCTGCTCTGAATACACAGACCCAAAACCAACAATACGATTGCTTCAATACATACAATGATGCAAGGGAACTACTGCTCTTAGCTATATAACCTTTTTCAAAAATTAAATTAGATTAAACAAGTCCTGCACTGGGAAAATTCTAAATCTATTGTTCCCCCATCATGCAGAAGACATTAATCCTGCTTCATGACAAGAAAGAAGAGACGTCCAAAGTCATGCAAAAACTGAAAATCAACTATAATCATATAATGAAACACTACAGAAAATAACGCTACAAAATTGCCCAATCTAGTGTTAGTACTTGTAATAACGTTGTGCACTGATGTTCTGGTAGGCTGCTTGCTGCGAATTGAAGGTTTGGTAAGGAGTTTGCTGAGGGTTGATCTGGAAAGAGGTTTGCTGAGGGTTGATTTGGTAAGAGGTTTGTGTAGCGTTGATGTTTGCATAGGCACCTTGCTCAGCATTATAGTTTTGATAAGATCCTTGTTGAGGATTGTTGTTTTCTCCCCCAGTATTAGCATAGGTCTGAAGTATGTTCTGGGAGGTATTCAGATGCTCAGATGAACCCCGGATTTCAACACCACCTTCAGAACCACCAGACTGATGATCTTGGAGCTTCACCCTGGTTCCAGCAATCTGAATTTTGTGGAAATAGACTTAGCGACCCTTACACAATTAAAGGTCTTTAGTGAGTAAACACATTACTTATACCACCATTTGTTTGTAAGCTAAAGGAACTTCATGAGAATTATTTTTTGCCAGAATAAAAGGCTCATTAGGATTTCAACAGGAGCAGGACGCTAGTGTTTCTTTATCTGTTGCATTAAATGTTACATGTTCATCATCCCTTCTGATGGGAATACCATAGTTAACCATATGAACATAAAAATGTCAATTAAGAAAAATGACTTCAGCACACTTTTAGTCCGTCCAGTATGTGCACAACCTCTCTTTGGGCCAACAAATACCAAATTTTGCAATGTCATCCCTATTGGGGTCGGCCTGGTTGGGTTTTACCCAAGGTAAGGGCAGTTTAGGAAACAAAATAGAAACCACATTTGGGTTCAAGGTTGTAATTTTCTGTGTTGCAGTGTGTGAAAATATGTAAGCAATGTTATTGAATCTGTGTATTTGCAGTGTATGAAGCTATGTAATTTTTTGTGTTGTAGTGTATGTGATTGTGTGTGTGTAAATCTGTGATTGTGTGTGCATGTGTGTAAGCCGAAGAAGACAAGAGGAAGGAGGAAGAAAGAAGAAAAAGATGGAGACGATGAAGTAGGATGAATAGATTGGTGGTTTTGGAGAGAAGACCAATTAGAGTTTGAATAGGATCTTGAAACAACTCAGGGTAGAATTATAATAGTGAAAAAATTATAAAAGATACCCTTGTTGAGCGCTTTTAGCATTCAGCATTAAGTAAGGACACTACTACTTAATATTTTAGCCTATTTTTAAGAGGCATTTAACAAATTAAGAGATATTAATTTTGATTATCAAACAGACTTAATTAAATAAGTGTGGAATATATCCATTTTAAGTGCTGAATTTGGGTTAACAAACACACACTCTTATTCCACAAATAAAGAGCTAATAAAGAAACCAACAAATATACGCTACCTATTCCATGTGATGTTGCTTGCCAATTGGGCTAAATTTCAATGACTGCCTTAATATTCAGATCTAAACACAATATTTGTTACTAAAAATTCATTTAAAATACAAAGTGCTGAAATCTGAAATTTAAGTATTGAAAATAAATACTTTTTCAGTTTTATTCTTCCATTCTTTACTTTAAATTAAACATACATTTATCTAATAAAAACCATGATGTACTACTAAAAGTAAATTGTAACATATATGATAATCGCTATTACTATATTTTAGTCTAAATTTAACAAATATGATCATAAAATTAATTCAAGTTAAATTCATGAATAAAAAATGTGCGCACAGTGTGTGTTTATGCAGTGTGTGAAACAGTGTAATTTTCTATGTTGCAGCGTGTATAAATATGTGTGCAATGTGTTTGAATTTTGTGTATGTGCGGTGGGTGTTAAGCTTTGTAATTTTTTGTGTTGCAGTGTGTGTGTGTGCAGTGTAGGTGATTGTGTGTGCAAATTTTTTTGTGTGTGTAAGCCGAAGAACACAAGAGGAAGGAGGAAGAAAGAAGAAAGAAGAAAGAGATAGAGACGATGAATTAGGGTGGATGGATTGGGGGTTTTGGAGAGGAGACCAGTTAAAGTTTGAATAGGATCTTGAAACAACTCTAGATAGAATTATCATATTGAAAAAATTATAAAAGATACTCTTGTTGAGCACTTTCAGCATTGAACATTAAATAAGGGATCTACTACTTAATATTTTAGCCTATTTTTATGAGGCACTTAACAAATTAAGAGATATTAATTTTGATTATCAAACTGACTTAATTAAATAAATGCGGAATACATTCATTTTAAGTGTTGAATTTGGGTTAACAAACACTCTTATTCCACAAATATAGAGCTAATCAGAAAACCAACAAATATACACTACCTATTCCATGTGATGTTGCTTGCCAATTGGGCTAAATTTCAATAATTGCCTTAATTTTTAGATCTAAACACACATTTTGTTTTTAAAAATTCATTTAAAATACAAAGGGCTGAAATCTGAAATTTAAGTATTGAATTGAATCAAATTATTTAATAAGTACAAAGGGCTGAAATCTAAAAATAAGTAGTTTTTCAGTTTTATCCTTCCATTCTTTATTTTGAATTAAAAATACATTTATCTAATAAAAAACCATGATATACCGCTAAAAGCAATTCGTAACATATATGATAATTGCTATTACTATATTGTAGTCTAAATTTAACAAATATGATAATAAAATTAATTCAAGTCAAATTCATCAATAAACAAATTGTGTGTGCAATGTGTGTGTGTGTTTATGCGTGTGTGAAAGTGAAACTGTTTAATTTTCTGTGTTGCTCTGTGTGTGTGCAATGTGTTTGAATTCTGTGTATTTGCAGTGTGTGCGAAGCTCTGTAATTTTTTGTGTTGCAATGTGTGTGTGCAGTGTAGGTGATTGTGTGTGTCGGTGTGTGTGTGTGAGTCGAAGAAGACAAGAGCAAGGAGGAAGCAAGAGATGGAGACGATGAATTAGGATGAATAGATCAAGGGTTTTGGAGAGATGACCAATTAGAGTTTGAATAGGACCTTGAAACAAGTCAAGGTAGAATTATCATATTGCAAAAAATATAAATGATACCCTTGTTGAGTGCTTTCAGCATTCAACATTAAGTAAGGGCTCTACTACTTAATATTTTAACCTATTTTTAAGAGGCACTTAACAAATTAAGAGTGCATAATACATTTATTTTAAATGCTAAATTTGGGTTAACAAACACTCTTATTCCACAAATATAGAGCTAACCAAGAAACCAACAAATATACACTACCTATTCCATGTGATGTTGCTTGTCAATTGGGCAAAATTTCAATGATTGCCTTAATTTTCATATCTAAACATACAACATTTGTTATTAAAAATTCATTTAAAATAATATCCACTAAATAACATATAATATTAGAATATATATAATTATAGATGTATTCTGATATTTTTGATTTTAACATATGGTCATATCTGTATCATATCAAACTCATATCCCGTATCCATATCCATGCTTCAATGGAAAAAACCCGCAAGCCTACCACTTCTTCTCTCTAATTTCTTGCATAACAAGAAAAACAAAGATAGATGAGAAGAGATAGAAGAGAGAAAGAAAGATTGAACAACAAGAAAGATAAGACTAATTTGAGCATGGGAAATTGAGGTTTGGATTTTGTGAGCCTTTTGTTATGTCCCTGTTTTGGTCTGTGTTTTTGCTATCAATCATGGAAATTCTCAAAAAGGTAACGTATTTGTATCAGACGTCGACATTCCTTGGACACGTGTTGATTATTCCTTTTATCTGTGATCCACATTTAAATAATAAAATTTAAATTTTGAAAACGTGTCTGATACTTTTTTGGATTGGATCTCTACTAATGTTGATATGTGATTAACAAAGCTCAAATATTGTCTATTAAGTATCTTACACTGTGAGAGAATATATATCTATCAAGATTACACATGTTAAAGTTATTCTCGAAATATAATAATAAAAATAAAAAATGCATAGAGTTTTAAAAAGAAAAATTGAGAATATGAAAGCAATCATTTAAATTATGTGATGTCTGTAAGTTGTCTACACAAAAAAATTGAGAATTGTTGACTATTATAATGTTTTAATCTAAAAATCACACTAGATGACTAGACATAACATTTACTTCTCCTAAAGTACTGAATTTTGTATGAATAATAAATCATTATCACTATACCTGCCATACGATATAGCATTTTCTATATAAAATACAATTATTTGTAACATGTCCCCAAAGTTTCAATATCCTACTTTTTTAAGAAATGTCATGCATGCATGTCCAATGTCTTATTGTATCCATATGTCCTATCGCTGTCTGTGCTTCTTAGTTCTTTTAAAATTTCTATGGGTGTGCCGAAGATCATGTGAGGATGGAAAGACCAACGACTACAGAGAAGGTTGAAGTACGACAGGATGACGAGATTAACAAATTCTATATTATATTGTTAAGAGTTAGAAATTAAAAGAATATTATAGTGATTAACTGTTTAAATCTGGTCAATTTTTCTACGCTACAAAACGACATGTGCTTTCATTCTTTTTAGTAATTTTAATATACTTTGGATTGAATCCGTTTTGGAATTCATTAGGTTTTGGTATTGCTATTATTTATCTCTATGTATTATGAGTTTAATCAAATCAATTCTATCAATAATATTTCAAAGAGTTTCTCTACCTTTTTCTGTAGATTTAGGTTGTGTTCGATACATAAAGAAAAGGGTGAATTTTGTGTCCCCATTACCGCTTGGTCAATTGGTATTAGAGCCCTACGTGACATGGTATGATTGTTGATTAATGAAATAGAGACAATTTTTCCCGTGACAGTAATCATATGGATACTCAGTACTCTTCCGAGAACCGAGTATTAGTATTCGGAGTGGGACCCAGCAAACCTATTGTGATTTCTACGTTCTGATTTGTCAGTCAACGAATAAGGATCCAGATTAAAATAGGGTTCACAACAACGATAAGGCTTGTGTGTTCGAGATGTCAATCATGTCCCCATTAGATGACAACATATTTATGATGCAAATTCTGGAGATGATGATGAAAAGTATGTTGCACTTATGTTTGAAGGTAATGATTGTTTTAGAGGAAGTATTTATGAGTCTAGAAATTTTTGTGTGTTGACCTACCAGTTTTGATAGTTGTCCATATAAAAGATTTCCTACATTGGTTGGTAAAGAGTATAGTGCATATCAATCTGCGAGGCAGAGGAAATTTGGGTTGAAATAATCAACTCCAGGTAATATTGGATCAAAATCTTGTCCATTATATAATGATTATTCTGTAACTCAACTCTCGTATCAAAACCTTGTCACTGAAATTCTGAAGTACTTGGATGGATTCAAAAATTTAAGGGAGAAAAAGAAAATTCAAGTAACCCCATATTCATAAGTCATGTAGTTCCAAATAAGAAAAAACTCAAAAGCTATCAAGACGTACACATGAAAGACGATGATGTAGGGGATCCTCTAAAAGGTTATCATGAAGAGAATAACACAAGTGATGATGTAACAACGAAAATCATTGTAGTTGAACCTGATACATTAGAGTTTGTCGAAACCAATGAAGAAGACAAAAGTAGTGATGAGATGTCAGGCAAACGTTTTATAGAAGAATCTCATAGATAGAAAACGAGACGAACCAGGGTCTCAGTTATATGAAGTTGGTGTTTCTGAATCATTCAAGGGTGTGTTGGAGAAGATTTATCTAAAGAACAAAGTCGATGCCGATATGTAGATGTACCAAGTTGTTTCAAGCACCAGAAACTCAATGAAGATTTTCTTTTTTCAAGTAGTGTCTAATGCAGGACGAGAATAATAATAAGTTCTATATGTTATTTTATTCTATTTATTTCGTTAGAGTTAGAATTTAATTGCAAATATTCTAGAATGGTTAGCTATTAANTCTTTTTTCAAGTAGTGTCTAATGCAGGACGAGAATAATAATAAGTTCTATATGTTATTTTATTCTATTTTATTATTTCGTTAGAGTTAGAATTTAATTGCAAATATTCTAGAATGGTTAGCTATTAAAATCATGTTAATTTTTCGAAACTGCAAACAACATGTGTTTTTATTCTTTTGGTAACTTTCATGTATCTAGGGACTTAGGTCTGTTTTGGAATCCATTAGGTTGTGGCCGTTCATATAAGTTGACCCTAATGTAATACTAGTTTTAATCAAAATCAATTATGTCAATAATATTTCAAAGAATTTCTCTTCTTTTTTTTTTCCTGTGAATTCAGGTTGTGTGTGTTTGATATATAAAGCATCAGTGACAAGCCAAAGTTCAAGGAGGCAATATTATTTAACCCTTAATTTCTTTTATTTTCTTTCCCCTATATCATATGCTCTCTTTCAACTTTCAGTGACAAAATGAAAACAGACAGAGAAGTCAACTTCGCCCTTACCAATACACCATTCATTGTCCAAACTCCAGCATCATTAGACGGTCCTTCACATTTCCATCTAATAAGTATTGTTAAGTTTTGCAACAAGGACCCCAGTCTAATTTTGTTTCTCAGTGGAGAATACAAAAAAATGAATTTCTTGGAGGGGCCGGGAGAAAGCAAGACCAAGCATGATGGGATCGGGATTGGGCTGAACCAATCCCTCCATCAGATATGGTTGGGAACAGAGATTTCTCTGGTAGGCGGGTTCACAAATAGAATCACCTGTCTCAACCAAATCCCATTGGCATTCCTACCCCAATACAGAATTGAAATATAGGAGATGTCAGAATTTGGAGTTGGATCAGTATTTGTGAAGAAACTCGAAGAGAAAATCTGACAAAAAAAGCTGGATAGAATAAGAATCTTCTGGGATATCCAAATGTAAGCATGATAATAAACCAAAGAAAATATTAGCACAAGGAGAGGGGGGAATGGGGCTGATATTCCTTGCTCCAAAAAACCCCCCACATGTCCCAAATGTTTTTAAATGCTTTCCATTCAACAATCAGTGAGTAGTGGCCCATCTTTAGAAGTGTGATTTTCTCTGCAACCATGAATGAAATGTAACCCAGCAAAGAGGCATGAAGGAGGTAAAGTCAATCACCAGGTAAAAATGTTTTTTTCTTCAAAGCTAAGTTAATGGCACAACCATCGAGTGCCAGAGGCAAAATCACCCAATAAACATTTGCTAATCACCATAAAAAATCCTTCTTTAGAATGCATTAGAAAACTCACCTCACCAATGTTGTTCCTGCCTGAAACCATACCAGAGTTTACAGCATTATTCGGGATCCTCAACTCCATGAAATGGCTGATGTTTTGGAATCTGGAACATGGAAAGATGATAATCATACTCAAGTCACAATATTCAAGACATGAAATTTGAACTAAGAATAACCAATAGAGTCCTCATTACCCAGTGGCACTTGGAGGTACAAGATAACTTGGAGGTTCATATTCACGTCCACCACCCTTCATAATAGCAATAACAGTAACTCAGTACCAGCAAAAGGCATTTCTCCATGATTATCTCGATCGAGAACATATATTTATAGGCCACAATAATGCATCTAGACATTAATTAAATTTTAGCCAGTCAGATACCCCAAACATGAGTAGTTCACAGGGAGATGTGTCCTGCCAAAAGCTAACAGTAGATTAAATGCTGTACACAACTGTATTCAGGATCATAATGTCTATTCTGCACATTTAGACTGTGATAGCAAACTCATAAAAACCAGCAACAGCTACAGCAAAGAGAGAATGTTTTAACCATCAATTGCTCAACACAATGGTAGTGGCAGCTGCAGTGGATAGAGCAATGGTAGGGTGGTTGTGGCTGAGATAGCAACAGCATGGTGTAGTGGAATATTGAATTAAATCTTTAGGAGTTTTCCTAGTCCATCTCCATGATGAAATGTTGGTTCAAGAAACCATGCCAAACAACCAGAGTTCATGGTCAGGCTCAAGCACAAATACATAACCCAATAACCATAATTGGGTCTATTCTTGATAAAACTTTTTAAAACTGCTATCAGGTGATATATCAGTCCATTTCATCCAACAAATGTCAGTGGATAATCCAGAACCATATGTTAGTTTCAGACATGTAACAAATGACTGAAACAGGTAGAACCTTCACAAGGACGAGAGAGAGAGAATAGCTTCCAACAACAGACATCCCTAGCCCTAAAAATAATCCCATAATACCATATAGATGACATAAAGCTGTCATATGCCAGTTAGGGAAATAAAATCATTATGCCACACTGGGGGGTATGCATAAACATCCTTATCCTTCTCAAGCCAGTTTTTGATAACCGTGCCTAAAGCGTCAGACTATCACAAGTGCAATGCAAGCACGAAAAATAAAATATCCTGGAAATGGATTAAAATCAGTTTCAGATGGTTACAGGCCATTACGCCCACCAAAAAGCATTTCACTGAACCCATTACTGTAGCCCAAAAGGCTTAGAGCTCTTCATTGCCTGAAGTAGTATTAATATTTTCAGGGTGTCCATATTCTAATGAAACAATTTAGTTTGACCAAGTTGCCCTCAAGAAATTATTTCAGATACAAGGTTCAAAAGTTCTATATGGGGGCACCAATAGCAAAAGTTGCTCCCACTCGAGCTTTTATCATGACGGTGGATTGCTATTCCCTGAGGTCCAAAGCCTATTTTTCGGGCCACTTCAAACTGATAACTCAACTGTCAAACTAAATGCAAGGTGGGGCACAAAGACAGCAGCTTTGCATTGAGCATTTGCTCCATTCAACTCCTCTATTTATTTGACCAAGGGAATTTGCCCAATGCACCTGCTAAACACACCTAATTGGCTTTGTCCAGCAAAGGAAGAAAAATGATCTCAATTGCTAAAATTTTCACTGGCTTCCAAAGATCATCTCCAACAATGTTCTCTATTTTAAAGAACATGTATTTTTAAAATAGAAAGCATCTTTCATAAAAAGTTAAAATAGAGTGAAATTTTGTTAACAATTCCAATAGGACTCTCTATCCTAAGAGAAGAATAGTATCTATAGTCAATGCATTTAATGAAAAAGGTAGAGGTGCCATCTTTCATCCAGTAATGATATAATAGAGAATGAAATTGGCTCTTCAAATATAGAGACCCAAATTAAACTCTTTGTTTTAGCTAATATAAATAGAGAGCCTATTGGAGAGGAATTTTTAGGTGTTAGATCTCTAAAATAGAGAATTGAGTAAAAATAGAGTCTATTGGAGATGCTCTACGTTGTTTATTATGAAAGATCGATAAGCACACACAATGTCCTGCAAAAAATTATTACATGTGCTCCGTTGCAAAGTTCTTGCCTCATGTTAAGCATCTAAAGAGTCTAAGTTTCCAACTAGGAAAGTGAAAGTCAAAATAAAAAAAAAAAATCCCTTTCCCAAAGTTTACTAGAATATGTGAACAAAAGTACAGGTGATGCATGTGATATGTTAAACAATCATCTACTCTAAAAACTTAAATTGTTGAAGAAGATGTAAATTATTTATACTTTAACACGCTCCCTCACGTGCCGGCTAGATTTTGGACCTAGCACATAAATTTTTTTTTAATAATTAGGATGGCGGTGAGATTAGAATATAGGACCTCCTGCTCTTATACCATGTTACATACCAACAAGCCTTTGGTTCAATAGTACTCTTTACCTTGTGAAAACTTTACCTTCTTGAGGTCAAAGGTTCGAGTCTTCCCTCCTCACCCAAAAAAAAAAAAAAAATTCTTATACCATGTTAAATAACCATCTATTCCAAAAGTTTAAATAGTTGAAGAGGATGTAACTTAAGTATTTATTTTTAAACATGATAAATAGCAGGAAAAAAAGTCTCATTACCAGGTAAGAGCATAAAACATTATATTTTACAAAATTTCAAGAACGACATGATTTGGAAACGCCCAATGCCAAAGTCTATGTTTTCGGAAGGTCAATTTCCCAAGGAAATTCTGACAGATATAGGTTATTAGATCATTTTTCTTTAAGGTCATCATATCATAGGAAGTCGATAACAACTCACCTATTCCTAGTAAATACACTTACGTCACCACAATTCTAAACCAGAAACTATTTTTGCAAGAAATCAGAGAGCAAGTTCATCATAAACAACTAAATGACCACAAACTTAAGCATGGACCTTCAAGCTGACACTTCTACCCCAAGCCTTAGTCACATATACAAATACCTTCAAAATTTCGTAACGACCAGAGCTGCCGGCTCCAATGGGACCAGATGGAGGTGGCCTTGCGCCAGGTAAGCTTCTTGAAGGACCAAGTCTTGGAACAGGCTCAACTGGAGCAGGTTCTGCTCCAGCATTTGCATCTCGCAGACATCTCGTTCTAAGCCTTGATGCAATCTCTGCCAATGTATCTTTAGCAACACCAAAGTTTCCAGATATCTGTATCATCCGAAGTCAAGAAGGGATTAAATGAAATAGTAAAGATTAAACAACTGAGGGAAAAAATAGTGCACATATGCACGGAAAACAATCAAACCTATAAGGACTGAGGTGATATGTCAGCCCCCCCAAAAAAAAACAAAAAAAAAATCTCTCATAATTTTTGGAAACCGTGTTTGGCATTCTAACTTTTGTTAATTTTTGAGTTATTATTATGTTTCCACCTTAGAAGTATGTAACTTTTCAAAGTGGACTGGTCAATCCCATATTTAAATATGTTCCACTCTTGGATTGGTCCCCCAGCCTTAATTCTTGGTTTTTCCAGTGCATATCACAAATTGGGTTAATAGTGCAAGCAGCAAACATATCACCTGCACAAGCTCTTCGTCTTCAGAAGCACACTTGGGCTTATCTTCCTTGGAATAAACACGTATGTCTGCACGGGTTCTCCTCCTCATCTCATTGATCACATGTCCTCCTTGTCCAAGAATGCAGCCAACCTTACTTGATGGAACAAGAAGTCTAGTTGTAATAATTCCATCGTCAGCCTGTTCACTTGTTTTGTGTTGAAGCTGAAGAATGGCCTCTATAGTTTGTGATCTTGGATCCCACAAAGCCTTTATCAATATCAGAACAGAAATCACATACTGGTATATTGATCACATGTCCATAAAAACAACAGCCAATTGATAAAACCATGGTCATTTGGATGAGAAACATCCATTACCAAAGGAGGCTGACCTCAAAAGAAGAGATACGGATTACACGGTCATCAGACTCCGCCAACACATCCTCAACATGAATACCAGCTCCTGTTTCTTTCTGTAATTGTTTTACATTGAAGCCACCCTTGCCAATCACTCCACCAATTTTTGTGGCTGAGCACAGAATTTTCATAGAAAACTCACTCGGAGATTCCCCACCACATGCAGCATGAGCATCATTAAAACCACCTTGCCCAAATCCAGAAGGCTGGTTCCCATATCCCCCCATCCATGGAACTGGCAACATACCATGAGGATCAGAGTACCGCTCAGGCCACATCGGATTTCCTGGTGGTAGCATGTTTCGCATAGCAGGAGCAGCAGGCTGAAAACTTTGTCCCCCATGAGCCATCTTAAAATTCAAAGGTGGTTTGTCCTTGCGTGGATTCTGATGCAACAGAGTAGACACTTCATACAGAGCCAGCTTTGCCAATGCTGGCTTACCGGATATCTGTTAAATACCTACCAATGTGAGATTTTATGGGGTCATACAAATTTACAGAACCATCCAAATCAACCAACTCAATTCAATAATGACCACACAAAAACGTCCATAATATGAATGAACAACGACCCCAAAAAACTGCACAAATCACTTTCCTGCAACATGAGGCTGTTCACTAATCAACCTCTGGACTAAACTGCATAAAGCACATCATACCAAAAGTTGTTAAGTTCATTAAATAAGAAAACCAAAAAGAATGAAAAAGATAACATGAAATGTAACTGAAACAGAAAAAAGAAAAAAAAAATGTTAACAATTGTTAGCAAAATTATTGCTCAACCTATATGACCCATCCAACTTCTTTTTGCCCCACTTTCATAAATATTTTCACACAAAACTAATGTCACTGGAACCTATAATAACTTTTATGGAAACTTGTCAAGGTCTTCTTTCCATTTCTATTTTTAGGAGCCCAAACGCTGGCCAATCATCCCCCACCGCATGTATGGGCAGTCCCTCTACCAAGACTTGTTCCAGAATTACAGTGCAAGAGATACAACTAGAAATTCGCAGTGCATAGTTCTAAAGGCATCTCCTTCTAACCATAGTTCAAAGTTGTGGTATCAGCCATCGACTCGTAGGATACAAATGTCGCCTGTGCATCGACCGATAAGCTCAAAACACTAGATACCAAAAAATATTGAAGAAATTATAGAAAATTCTAAAAATATAAACATCATCATTCATACATTATATGTCCACAATACATCAAAAAACACATTAAACATAATTAAAATGAAACATATAGACGCCACCGAAAATAATTATCATTATCAATGTTCAACGTAGGAATTTTATAACATATTGAGCCATAATCATTGTCACATTGAATGACGATGAGGCTCAACATTATCGTTATTGTCTGTAGGATAATACAAATTACGATAATATCCACCATAAGGATAAGAATGCAAGTGTGAATACGGGTCTGATTGCACTTTGTAATTCATCGACCACCACCAACATGTGTTGCGTGTTCCCAACCGATGTGTTGTTTAGAAGTCATTCTACAATTTAAAAATTCAATATAATTAAATAAGTAACATATTTTTGTTGTTTTAAAAATTCCAGAAATATGTAGTTATATTTTTCTTTCTTCTATTTTAGTTTTTCACTTCTATTTTTTTTTATTATTAAAAGAAAATGCTTGAAATATTTATTCAATAAATAAGTAATTTAAATATAAAACTAATGTAATTATAATATTTAATTTTCAATAATCTGAAATAGAACATATATCAACTCATTATATTAAATTAAAAATTACTAATTTTTTTAATTATTATCATAAAATTAATATTAATATATCTAATTATTACATTAAAAATTTTAATAATTTATGAAAGAGTAAATTTAATCCAAGTAAGTTTTGATAAAAACTAAACTGAAAAATTAATTACCCATAAAAAATAGACTGTTTTTACCAAAAAAAAAAAAAAAAATTGTTAAGGGTCTAAAGGAGTCAAACCTATGACTTTTTGGTTAACAAACTATGTCTATACCAAGTGAGCTACTACTTTTTTTAAATTTTAAAGACTAATATAAGTCTTTTAACACTTAGTTAAAAAAAAAAAGGAAACAAGACTTATATAAGTCTTTACCATTCTCAGATGTTTCGTGTTATTTAGTCTCAGACGCTTCGTGCATCTCAGCCTCAGATAAGAGGAGAGAGAGAACATTACTCGCTGATAGAGAGAAAGAACCAGCACTCACCGACAAAGAGAGAGAGATTCAATCAACGCCACAGACGATTCTCTACTTATTGTCACAGCAAAGGAGAAAGAAGAACAGAGGAACACCGAAGAAGAAAAATAGAAGAAAAAAAATATCTCTATTCGGTTCGATATACAAGAATGTTGTAAAACTTTAGTCTTCTTGGCTTCTATAGTTGCAAAAGAGGGGTTTATATTACAAATTTCATGTGATTTCTGCCATATAGTATTAATTTTCATATGGGTTTCAGACAAGAGTGGCAGACTGAAAGTGGATCTTTAATTCCTTGCTTTATTTCTCATCTTTTTTTTTTTGTTCAGTTTTCAAGACTGATCGAGTATTTTTAGACTTTTACAAATGTGGGTCTTTGGCTTTTTACTCTTTGTCCAAGTGTGTGGGGGATTTTTCTGAGATTTGTTCGTCTCAAAACGAGTCCGATAGGAATCACCCAATTTGTACTGAGATATCACTGAGTACCTCTGACTTCAGCTAAAACGTATGAGTTGAACCGAGATATCGCCGATATTAGTTCAATACGTGAATTTTCTATTTCGTGTACCGTTATTATATCGAGAGTGGTCGAGTCGGATACGACTTGACCGAGTCGTATTAGACTCGGGCGATACTTTGAACTATGCCCACATCAGAAAAAGCTTAAAAATCACTTAATCAGTCCTGAAAACTGAACAAGAATCCAAAAAAAATTATTATAAATAAACCAAAGAATCAAAGACTCACTACCAGTCTGCCACTCTCGACAAAAATCCATGTAAAAATTAAGCCTACATGGCAGAAATCACATGAAATTTATAATCTAAACCCCTCTTTTGCAACTATAAAAGTCAAGAAAACTAACGATTCACAACATACCTATAGATCAAACCGAATAAAGATATTTTTCTTCGTCTGTTTTTCTTCTTCAGTTCTTCCTCTGTTCTTTTTTCTCCTTTATCATAACGATAGGCAAAATATCGCCTGTGACGTTGAGTGGATCTCTTTCCCACTTTGTCGGTGAGTGCTGGCTCTTTCTCTCTGTCGATGAGTTTTGTTCTCTATCCTCTTGACTGAGACTGAAACACACGAAGAGTCTGAGACCGGTTAACATGAAGCGTCTGAGAATGGTAAAGACTTATATAAGTCTCGCTTCCTTTTTTTTTTTGATTGAGTGTTAAAAGATTTGTATTAGTCTTTAAAGTCATATAAAAGCAGTAGCTCACTTGGTAAACACTTAGCTTATTAACCAAAAAGTCAAAAGTCTATTTTTTTAAAATAATTGATTTTTTCGTTTAGTTTTTATCAAAACTTACTTGGATTAAATTTACTCTTTCAAAAATTATTAAAATATTTAATGTAATAATTAGATACATTAATATTTAATAATAATAATTAAAAAAAATATTATTTTTTTAATTTAATATAATGAGTGGACATATGTTCTATTTCAGATTATTTAAAATTAAAGGTTATAATTACATTAATTTTATATTTAAATTATTTATTTATTGAATAAATATTTCAAAAATTGTCTTTTAATAATCAAAAAAATTATAAGTGAAAAAATAAAATAGAAGAAAGAAAAATAGAATTACATTTTCTAGAATTTTTAAATCAATAAAAATATGTTACTTATTTAATTATTTTGAATTTTTACATTATAGAATGACTCCTAGACAACACGACATCGGTTGGGAACACGTAGCACCTGTTAGTGGTGATCGAAGAATTACAAAGTGCAATCAAACCCGTGTTCACACTTTTATTCTTATCCTTATGGTGAACATTATCCGAATTTGTATTACCCTACAAACAATAACAATGATTTTGAGCTTCATCGCCATTCAATATGATAATGATTATGGCTTAGTATGTTATTAAATGCCTACGTTGAACATTGATAATGATAATTATTTTTGATAGCGTCCTTATGTTTCATTTTAATTACGTTTAATGTGTTTTTCGATGTATTGTAGACATATGATGCATGAATGATGATGTTTTATATTTTTGGAATTTTCTATAATTTTTTAAAATTTTTTTGGAGCTTCTATCTAGCATTTTGAGCGTATCAGTCAATTCTGCGCCGCTATGTGTGTCTATACCGCAACTTTGAACCATGAATGTGGGTCTTGGATTTTTACTCTTTGTCCCAGATTTTAGGGGATTTTTCACGGGATTTGTTCGTCTCAGAACGAGTCCAATAGGAATCACCCAAGTTGAACCGATATATCACCGAGTACCTCTGATTTCGACCAAAACGTACGAGTTGAACCGAGATATCGCCGAAATTAGTTCAATGCATGATTTTTCTGTTTCACGTACCATTATTATATCGAGAGTGGCCAAGTCGTATTGGACTCAGCCGATACTTTGAACTATGATTCTAACACAAATTCATGAATTACTTTGGAGTCAATTAATACGTCAAGAACATGATACTTGGAATTAGAGACGGTTAAGAGATTGTGGCCAACCCTATAACAATAGTGACCTTTATTTCTCTTCTTACATATTTGACACTCATCGGCATGGTTCAAAGTCGTGATATCGGCCATCAACTCGAAAGGTACTGAAATACGTCGATTGTGGCATCGCGGCACCATATCGACCGATACTTAAAAAATGATAGATAAAAAAATTCAAAAAACTCTAAAAAAAATCTTAGGAAAATTCCAAAAAATATAAATAATAGCATCAATGAATTATAAGTCCAAAATAAATCATCTAACATATCAAATATGGTGAAAAATTGAATATAAGTGTTACCGAAAATATTTATCACTACTAGTGTTCAATTTAAATATTTAAGAATGTACCAAGATATAATTTGAATAGGATTCATTTTCAATCTAATGACAATATATTACTTTCTAAAATTAACCCCCAAATTAAGTAATATACCAATTTAATTAAAAGATCAATTTCAAAGTAAATTAATAGAAAAACATCAACTAGTTTCTGCATAGTTTCTACATGGCACCATCTTTATTAACGGGTCATACTTTTGACTTTCAAGCTGTTTTTCCTCCATTTTAAGTTTTATTTGGATTTAATTTATTTATTATTGGATTGATTGTTGGTCTCAATAAATGTTAGAATTTACCAGTGTTATTTAAGGCGTAAAGCGAACCGAAGCGACCAAGACTCCTGAAGCGAGAAGCGAAGCGACACGCTTTACCGAAGCAAAGCGAACAGTTAAAAAAAATATATATTTTAGTTTAATTACTTCTAAACAATCTAAATTCTAATTTTATATATACTAAATATTTAAATGCAAGTAAAACCATAAACATTTAAATTAAAACAAACACTAATAATATCTCAAATCTTAATAACAGTCATAACTTAAACATTTAAATTCAAACAAATACTAACAATTGTATACATTTTTATATTGACAGGGTATGACAAAAAAAGAAGCAGAATCAGGACAGCAGCAGAATTAACAACAAAAAAAAAAGAAGCAAAATGAGGATAAAAAAAAAACAAAAGCAACACAGGACAGCAAAACCGAAGCAGCAACAGAATCAACAAAAAAAAATAGAAACAGAATGAGCTAAAAAAAAACATAAACACAATGATCATGACAGGAGCAGAATCAATTGTAAACAATTTCATATGTAATTATATACTGAATAAAAAAAAGCAGAACAGAGGCACATTTCACATGTACTAAAATAATTAAACATGGTATAAGCATAGACCACTTTTTGGTACCATTTGTATATATATAAGAAAAGGAAAAAGTATAACCAAGACATATCAGAGACACTTCTTTGTAGAAGAATCTATTATTTACCCCCATTCCTGATACTCCTGCTTCCTTTTTTTATCATAATTGTCATGCAGTTGCCTGACTCTCACATCCCACAAATATTCTAAATGAATTCAGCAACACAAGAAAAAAAAAGGAATGTGTTTTGTTCGAAACATTGTTTATTAGAAAAAAAAAAA